AATTAAATAACGCAATTCCATAGCACTCTTTTCGTGATATATACTGTATAATAGCCTTATCTATTTCTGCCGCCAAGCAGTAATATAAGCATTACTGCGTTTCGGTTTTGAAGGGTTGCTGGCGAAATTACAGACACATGGGACTTGTCAACGTATAGCTCAGAGTGACGGGCGCAGTAGCAGCCTCTCGGAGCTTTGTGATTTAAAGCTCTGAGTGGCGCTACAACTGTTATGGACAGGTGAGTCGCTTACCACCAGGCGTACGACTTGCTCGTCCCGTAACGTTAATATTATAAAAAAAATACGACGATGTTCGAAGCTCAGCAGTTCCACCTCTATGTACTAATTAAACTCCCCAATAAAATAAAAACTACATAAGTAATCTTATATATCAATTTTATTAACATAAAACATATCTCTCGAAAAGCGTATTTTACATTATATCTACATTTTTATAAATACAAATCTGCTTTTTGAAACAGACAATTTTTAATAAGAAAATAAACAAGGGTGTTCAGAAATTCATAGTCATACCTCAAGGTGATACCTCAAGAAATTAACGTTAGAGCCTTCATTATTTATCGACAAAGGTTGTCACCACATTTCACCAACCGGAAGAGGCTTGAGCCGAGTCTGAAAGAGCTTTATATATCCATGCAAAAACAAGACAAAGCGACTCAAGACAGGCGAAATTTGCATACTTATTAATCGATACAACCTCTGCTTGAATCCAAATGTATCCCATAGTAATACGGTTCATTTTGCTTTTGCTTGATTCATTTTGAGCGGCAGGGCCACTGGCTTTATTTCAGTTTTTTTTACAAACGAAATTTAAACCAGTTGAAAAATGTATTTAGTTCAGTTGATATAAAAAAATCATTGGTATATGCATTTTTAGGAGTCATTATTTCACATCGTATACTAATCAGTGTATATCTTCAATTTTACTCCATATTTTTCCAAAGTGATAGATTCAACACTTTCGCTGTTATGCGGAATCAACCAGAAAATCAACCATTTAAGGTTGTATAGACTCTTATTGCTGACTAATTATGTGCACCAATACAAACAATTCTTATTGGTCGTACCAGTATTACATGCTAGTAGATATGACCACCAAAAACAACCGCTTTTTTCGGCTCAAGCCAATTTCGCAACGGTAAGTGTGGCAACTCCCTAGGTGGATTATAGATCTGAATTTAAGGCAGGCATTCGAGGAAACACCAAAGCCGTGAATATATCGCACGTGAAACTAATTACTGTCGTAACTCAAAATTGTGGAATTAAGAAAACATAATTTGAAAAAAAAAATTGGAATGGATCATATTGCGTATAATGTGATTATTTCTAAGTACGCACAATACTTAATTATCCATTTATAAACGAAAATAGGTATATATATTAGTTTCATTCAATATTTTTCTCAATTTCACAATTTTGATTTATGACGGTACTTGTTTTCGGGTGAGCGATGTGTAGACATAATTTTTAAATATAAGGATTTTTTGTAGACTACGGGTTTTTTAAAACATACACAAAATGTTCTATTGTCTTTGGACAATTAGCGTAAAGTTGGACCAAGTTTTTGAGTACTTATAATTTTCTACTACACTTCCGGACACATAATTAGTCATCTAGAATACAAAAATATTGATAAGCTTTCCCCGGTTGTGAATTAGAGAATGGAAAATAAAAAAGATTTCCATGGTCTAAGGGTTGAATGTCTTCAAATTTCCAACAAGACATACGGAAATGACGTCAAAGCGTAAAACACAGAGCGGATGCGAGTAGGGCGCGGGTCGAGTCGGGACCGCAGCGGGTCTAATTCCGTGTATTTATATGGACGATAGCACACCAAAAGTGTGATGTCGTCCATATAAATACACGGCCCCGATCCAACCCGCGCCCCACCCGACTCGCGTCCGACCCGCACTCGACCGACACGCACCCGCTCTCTGTGTGTTTAATTACTGAAAATGCAAGGTGACTCGAATTGTGTCCAGGAGTGAATAATTTAACGGCAAACCAGGACCTTGGATATTACTGCCCTTCGTATCACAACCTTAGACCAATAACTCAAGAGAAATGCTAATCTCCATGCTGCAGGTCGTAGCTCTGCAAAAGGTCAAAATTCCGTCATAAATCTAGAGAGCGCTGATCAATAACTTGGAAGTAGTTTATATATATATGCGTGTCAAGCGCACTCAGCTCTGTCCTCTTTTTAGTTCACCCAGTATTTTCCCGTTGTACTGGTGTAGAGAATAAGGATTGTTAGAAATGATTTTTTATACCAATCTTCGAGCAATCTGTGAAAAATATGAAGTTATTTATAATTTATGAAAATATTTTTTCCAAGTTTCCCCTCCACAAAGATCTAACTCCACACAAATTAGCGTGAAAAAAGAACACAAAGTCTATGACAACAAGAAAAAATTAAAAAAGTTTCAATACTGGTAAGCGTAAATAAATGTAAATTCTTCCTTATTTGCATGCATTTTGTTTTAAATTTAGTCTGTTGTCCCTTTCGGCCACAAGACACAATTACAATATGGTCCGAACAATTATTTGAAAATTGGACACAGTAAATTTATACAATAATAAATTTTAAAATATTTATCATTTGCATACCACGGTCATATGGTCATCAACACTCAGTTTTTACACTATAATTTGAATCAAATCTAACCCTTATAATAAGAACTGTCCACAATCCAAAGTATTAACCTGAGTGTGTTCTTGACTGTATCATAGAATATCATAGAACTGTGAACGTACTTATTAGTAATAAAGTACGTTTAAAATATTAAAAACCTTGCGGGACTATATTACTATACTCCGTCCAACCATTTATTTATTTATTCCGTAATTATTGACATATAACTATAGAAAAAAAATGCAATACCCCTGGACTCTTTTACTTTTAATTTTAGTGAAGCGAAGTGCTCTTCAGCTCCGATATTTATCGAGCCAACAGATTATGTAACGAAGATGATTCAAGTTGATAAATTTTGGTATCTGTCTAATAAGTTATAACGAAATGAAATAAACTATAAATATTTTTTTATTGTTTATAATGAATCGTTGGATTCTTCTCCATATGAACGGGAATCATCACTTGAATCCTCATTAACATTAATTATTAATTCTTCAGTACACCAATTATCAAACGCAACATCACGATCCCAATCAGACAATACCTTCTTTTTTGAACCCGCTCACATTCACGATTAAAACTACGTCATAAATAATATCGATTGTTATTATCGGAAACGCATTAGCACATCACTAATTGATTGGAATTCGAGTTGTAAAAAGTTAAATGATTGGACGGAGTATAACATCATAACAACAAATTGTGTCCCGTGACTGCATATTTGCCTCCTTTGTTTATAAAGTGACATAAGTGAAATCTGAGATTTGTACTCAAAATTCGCCATACATTTACAAATTTCTATCATCTTCAACCACTTGCATGTACGTACTCAATGCTGGATCTCCTTTAAGGAGAAAACACACATTTCTATTATACTCTATAATTAATAGAAAAATACGTTATTCCCTACCTAAAAACTTAAAAACTAAAGGACAGATTAATAGGAAGCTTTCAACATTGGCTACCAAATCGATATTGTAGCCGAGTAGAAACCATTGACAATAGTATTGCAGAGATCATAGACTAGATTCTACATAAAAAGACTTGATTTTTTTTACATAAAAAAACTTTTCACGAACACTTGCAATTTCATACAACAACTTTGATAACAAAGAAACGGTAAGTAAAATGCCTTCATATACATTTTCCTCAATGATTATTACGAAAATTACAATTTTTTTCAGTAATAATTACATTAGAAAGTTGTATACCGAAAAATGGACCTTATGCACAGGAAAATATTTGTCCCTAAAAGATATAAATCTATGAAGTTGCATTAAAAAGATTTAAATAATAATTTAAACATAATTCCTTTTTCTTTTTCTTAAATTATATTGGCACGTAGCAAATAGCGCTTGAACCGAACTTAATTCTTTGTCCTCCAAAGCCCCCTGTACACATAGAAAAAATACATACATAACATGTGAAGGGTTTCAGACCCAGATAACATTGTCTACAACCACGAAAATGCCCAGTGTACATTATAATGAAAATATCTCATTCAAATTTATTTAATAAATACATTTCATGCAAAACTGAGGGCATACTTGCTTGGACCTGAAGCATGTTTAATTCAGTTATATTTAGTACATTTTAATGTATATTGAGCATTTACTGCTTTTCCGAATGTAGTTTGCGGGGTGTTAAGAGGTTAAAGTTTTTAATTTTTAATGTTGTTATTAAATTTATTTCATGTTGGACAATTATTAAATAATAATTATGAAAATTTCGTAGAAAACGATTATCATTAGTTACGGCTTTCTTATGCCTACCGATATTGACATTGAGAGGAGAATGAGAAGTGATAGAGTGGTAAGTAACATGTAACTAGTGAATAATCGTTTGTTACAAACATTTCTAAAGTTTAACATTATTAGAATGAGACCAATTAGCCTCTAATAACTTTAAAATGTTTTTTTTTTTACTACAAATATTTTCAAATAAAATACAAAGTTCTTAGGTTTTCGCGATTGTTACACATTTAAAATGATTTTTTTTTTCGGATCTAAATCGTACACAGGCACTCAAATTAATTTGAAATAGTCACGTTGATTAAACTCTACTCCTAAGGCAGATTCTCCTGAAAAGAATGAGTAACTTTTGGAGTTTCCAAAGGTTACTATTTGTAAATAAACATTTGCATACATTTATCCTTTACACTATTTATTTCAAATATGATAGATTAAGACCATTTGCAAACACAAAACGGGTTACTAACACGGATTTTTGTCATCCAAAAATACGCAGAAGCTAGTCGTGACCTGTAAAGGGTACCAAATGTTGGTTTGTTTGGAAAAAAAGCGATTTCGATCCCAAAAATTAATTTCATTTCCAAAATATAAAGTGTAAAGGTTGTCTTTTTTTGTTAGTGCATGGATATAAACCATAAAATAACAATACACGATTTCAAGTAGCAATAAAAAAATAGCTACATTAGTTTGCGTTTTTTTTTCACCCAGTATTTATAGAATACTTGCAACGGCATTTGTGGACATAATAAAAATGTTATTATTTCCCTAATTAATACAAAAAGGAAACAATAAAATGCAATATAATTAAAATAAATTAAATACTAGTTTTCCTTGTCGCTCGTTGAATCCGTGTGTTTTCTTAGCGTCCAATAATCTGTAAAGGCAGAAAAAATGCATATTAGGTACAAATTAAAAAAAAAATCCTTGATGATATTTCCACTGTTGGGCATAGATCTCCGTCTGTAGTTCCTACGCGAGCCCAATCCGGATTGGGAACTATACGCGTAGTAGTAGTAGTAGACGCGGAGAATTTAATTACACAATATTGAAACATTTGCCTTTTTAGAAATAAAATATAATCTCTTATTGCAAAATAAGCTCGTAGTCTCCTGACGTGTTTATTACAGAACACGAGAGAAAAAACTCATAAATTCATTCCTTCATAATTCATCATTCATTAGCAATGGAATGAAACTGACTTTTCCGTAGATGAACGTAGTGAAAAGTGAAAATTTTGCAGAACTTTGTGATTTTTTTATCGAGAGTAGTTAAGTCAATCGTGTTTCGTACTACCTTATAATTTTTTTTATTATCAATTAAAAAACGAGTCGAATTAGTAATTTTTTAATGTTGCGATAAATACAACGGAGATCCAAGAAGCCACGAATTTCTTGACATGCCCTGAGTTAAAGGAGAAATAGCCTTCTACTATATACAGAACCCGGCTACAACATCACTCAAATCAACTAACCAAGTAGCTCACCATGCCTGAAAGTATGCGACGACTAAAAAAAAGGCGTGACATCTGTGAACACAATAGTAAGCAAAATACCTTACTAAACAATCTCTAGGGTTGGGCTCCATTGGGAGTAGCACCCTTTCCAATGTGATACTACAACCCATCTGTTTATAGCCAACAAAGCTTTTATCATTCTTTAGTAATGCTGTCATTCGAATGACAAATTGGTAACCCACTAATTTTCGTATTCGAATGATCTGAATTATCATTAATTACTAATTAATATTACAAATCCAGATTCCATTTCTGTCTATGGGATATGGTAAATACAGTAAAAATGACGGGGATATTTTTATATGGCCATGGTGAATGATCTGGAGTAGTTCCGACATATATCATTCGACACGTGCACCCAAACGAATTCGGTATCGGTAGAGTCGGATGATTGTGCTTGGATTCGACTTAGGCGAATGATTTGCCCATTCGAATGATTAGTATTAGTACATTGAAAGTAGCGCATGGTTAAATTTTTGGATCTCACTTCACCTAGAAAACTAACAATTGACATAGACGTGACGTAGGTCGTCTTGACATAAATTTCGAATCATATAAGTGCCGGCTTCTTAAAAAAGTAACTCTGCCTGTATCCCTTGATTGAAATTTGCATTCGGCAAAAAAATTTGTTGACGACGTCCTAAATTTTCTGAATGTAAAGCAGTGGGTGTTCCCACGATCGGTTCCCATAATCGTAACGATCAGATTCTGATTATGCTCAAAGGACGCCATGCAATTCACAGTAATTTAGGAATCACCGGTTTAGAATGTTGAAATCGGCGAAAAGGGTGACTTACGACATGCCGGAAATTATTCTTAACATGTTATATTTCTATCTCTTCTCAATTTTTTTTTTTTCAGTATTTTTAACTGCCTCTGTGGCCGAGCGGTTACCATGCTGGTCTGCCACGCAGAGGTCCCGGGTTCGATTCTCGGGCCGGAAGAAATATTTGCATTGCCTACAATTATTTCTTCGAGAGTTTGGGTGTAATTTGTGGTTGTCTATGTATGTGTCCATGGCACCCGCGACACAGCGTTTCGCTAGTGCGGGGGATACGACTATGTGCGTTATTATTTCTTCTTTAGGAAGTTTTTACATTGTCAATTACGTCCAACAGTTAGAACTGCAGGCGTTAGATAAAGAGGTTTATTGTCGGATTCCCGGTAGGACGTATTTGAGAAATTATGTTTCATCAATATTGTGTGTTCTGGGTAGTGCTCCGGAGCTTCATTCTGTTGCTCTGGTTCTTCCCTAGTTCGTGACTAGGTAAATGTTGTGGTTATTTGACCAATATTATTATTAAATACAACATTGATTACAATAAAAATATTTTCCATAAGATTTTGGGACTAACGCAGAGGCAAGACGGTAGCTGGAGGGTCCAAAACACCCAGGAGCTGAAGAACATCTTGTCGAGCTCAATATCACTGGAGAAACCCAAGTCCGCAAGACTCCGCTGGCTCGTACGCCTCGGAAAGACCGACCAGATGAGGTCGATGTCCACTTGGTTGGCCCAAATACCGATGGAGGGACGAAGTGGAGAAAGACCTTCGCGATTCCTGCATGCAGAAACTGTGAGGAGATTGCACAAGACAGGGCGCTCTGGAGCTACCTCGCATTGGAGGCCAAGACCATACATTCAGTATAGGTATAGCTAAGACCCATTTCGGGCGAATTGAGCCAGCAGAGTAAGTAATAAAATATCCGTATTTCATCAAAGTGAACCTAAAACTGCTAACAGATTAAGTGAAGTCGTAATCAGGTTCATGCAGTTAAGACCACAACTGCATGAAGTTGATCTCGACTGCAGTTAAATATTACATGCAGTTAATGTGTGAAGTCGTTATCACCTTCATGCAGTCGAGGTTTCGGATAGTGACTTCACGCATTAACAGCATGCAGTTGAAACCGACTTCATGCAGCCAAGATCGACTGAAAACATACAGTCAATCTGTTAGCAGCCTAACGCTGAACGAAAAATGCTTAAACACGCAAAAATCTACAATAGAATATTAAAATACTATGCATTATGTCAAAGAACAAACAAATGAATGCTTAAAAATGATAAAATTGCAATAATGTGATATATAATACGGTCGCAATTGTGATATGTGATACAGTTGCAAGAGTAAGCCGCTGCGCCGTGTCGATGTAGATTGGTAACAAGATAGGGGAATGTTATGCTTTGTCAGTGGTTTCAAACCATATTCAAGTAGGAGCATAAACATGTTGCATTAAACGACGAATGCTTAAAAAAATATGATGGGAGCCTGAGAGCTGAAAGGGTAGTTCAATCAGTCTTTTACCA